AGCCTGATGTTTTAACATATAAATGATTTTTGTGATGACTCAGGATGTATTTTCTTCATAATTGAAGTTTAGACTATTTACAAAAATTAAATTAAATTTTCGAGTCTATCTTTTAATCCCTTATACATCACCACAGAAGTAACAGTTTTAAATTGCTTTGAAGAACACTTCTTAAACAAAGGTAAAAAATTGGTAGAAAACTCCACAATGTATAAGGGATTAAAAGATAGACTCGAAAATTTAATGTAATTTTTGTAAATAGTCTAAACTTCAATTATGAAGAAAATACATCTTGAGTCATCAAAAAAAAAAAAAAAAAATGTATAAATACATAAAAGGTAGATTAAATAAGAAGGAATTCAGTTATTGATTTATATAAGATTATGTTATCAGTTAGTAATTTTTTATTTTATTTTATTATTTATTAAAATTTTTATGAGTATACCAACTATTTATTGAAAAAATAAAAACTTGCATTTGATTTTACAAAAGAACATTGGTAACTATTTTAAACATGTCAAAAATTTGAATAAGTTTGCATTTTATTACAATGATAATTGTTAAAATTCTCACAATTTTAAAATAAATCGTAGAAATAATGAATAAAAGTTTTGCGATATGTGATAGAGAAGCCATAAAAGAGAATATTAAAATGACATAATTGATGATAACCGTTTTAATAATGCACATTTGGAAAAATTATGATGATATCAAGCATTTGACATAACAAAGTTTGGTCACACAGTCTACTTATATATTTCTCAACACTTAAAAAATGGGAATCACATCATAGGATAAATGTTAGTTATAGGTCACTTAACTTAACTGATGAATTTATTTTTATAGCCTTTCTACTCCCAACATCTAAAGTTACAAATGCCAATCATTTAATCCTAAATGTGTCTTGTTTTATGAAAATGCAAAATTGTATAGTTATTGGCACATGTAATGACAAAAATCCTGGGGGATTTTTTGCTATCTACTGACATCAGAAACTTTTATTAATGGTGCCATGCAGTTTTTTTACAATAGCTTTTATACAACTCTTATTAAAGAAGTTTAAATTCAAAAAGACCAATTACTGTCTGGTGGCCAATAACCATACAGTTTATCTTAATTAATTAAGAAAATTGAATGATTATTTTAAAGATTATATAGTTTAGTTTTTTTTCAATAAAGTTAGTCAAAATTATTGTTTCTAAATATCTGTATAAACAGAAAATATTTATAACACAAGTTTAAATAATGATGTTATTAGTTATTGATCATACTGAAATTTATAAGAGTAAATTCAGCCTTGATATTTTTATTATATAAATGACAATGGAAAACAATTTTACTTTTGAAAAAATTCTGTTGAAAATTCAGTACGATCTTCTATTTTTAACTTAAGAAATATATTTGGAATAAAAGGCATAATGGATTTTTCCTAAAAAAAAAAGTGTCGAATTTCAGTAAAATTTAGCTGCTGTTCAATTATTGATGATATTAATGTTTATGACACTATTAATTATCAAATTTTGTTATGAAAATATTAGAAATTTTATACAGTTTAATTTTGTTTATACGATAGAAGGATATCTGTATCTTAATATAATATTACTTTTTTGTAAAGAAACTGTTGATAGTATGTCTGGCATATAACTGTTAACATAATTCTTGTGTATTGATAATATAACAAACACACAATGTAATAAGATCATATCATATAAAAATGATATATTTATTGCATACATTTGAAAGTAATTAAAATATTCATAGAATTTTAAAAAAATGGTCTAATTAAACTCATTCAAAATAATTTTTTGAATGCTAATTAAAATAACATGTATTTATATGAAGAAAAAATTCAATGTTAATACAACAGTAAAATGCTAACACAATAGAATCCTTATTTTGTAATTATGGATATTGTTATCACTTGTTCAATCTGTGATCTAACATATAAAACTCTTTTATTAATTGCTTTATTCTATTCATTTAACTTGCATTCTATTATTTTCAGAGTCAATTCACGAACTTGCAATAATTTATAGTCATATTGATTTTTACTTCAAGGATTTGCTTCTCACAACCAAACAAATCAATAAGAGATGGATTTATCATGTAAACAATTCTTAATACATAGTCTGGCAATTTGATAATGAGACAGGATTTAAAAAATATATAAATAAATAATGTAAAAAATATTTGAGGAAACTGGATATACTCTACAAAATATATATTTCTCTTATATTGATACAGCAAGTGATTTAGTCATTCATTGACTGGAACAATTTCTGCATGATCTTTTTTGATATGGCATTGAGAGTGGAGGTTATAACCTCTGGATGATTTTGATATTATAAAAATGTTTATTTTTTTCAGATATACTTTCAATTTCAGAAATTCAAAATTAGTTGTAGAAGGACATATCTGCATAATATAGTGGATATTTGAGTGCACAAACTTGTTTTTAGGAATATTTGAACTGAAACAATAATTAGGTCTGACACAGGAACAATTCACTTTAACAATTATTGCAAAATGTCTAAATAATAATTGCCAGTGATAGGTTCATCTTCTAGAACAAAATATGTTTGCTATCAATAAGTTCTTCATTGCAAATTGAAATTGGATGTCCTATCATTTTATCATCTTCCAAGTCTTTCTTTCCATTAATCTGAGTGTCAGGTATAAAATATGAACCTTTATTAGTTTCGGTTCTAATGTGTTTACCAGTAGAGCTGATACACAATGGAGTCTTACCAAGATAACTTATTGAAGATCTTTATCAGTTGCTTGGTGACCTACAAAGATATGTTACCAACATCTATTTCTGTATGAGCTATGTGATACTGAAAGGTCAATAAAAGTGGTGTGGGTTTATCATACCTTCTGTTGTAGGCTATCATATATTATAACCACATTTCACTACTGTATTTTTGAGAGTTAACTTATACTTACAAGGAGATAGCCAGACATTCATGTCTTCGATTCAAATGAAACTTGGTGACTACATAGCCCTAAACACAAACAGCTCCTTGTCTGAATAATAGGACCCACTTCTTAAGTGTTTCTTAAAGACAGGTTTCTGAAAATTGACCGTTTATCTTATAAGTCTTTGGAAGTTTTAATCTTTGTAATGCTTATGTTGTTTGTTACACTTCAAATATAACAATACAATCATATCTGAAAATAAATATGAAGAAATAAAAATTTTATTTAACCATATACAAGAGTTAAATCTACAGAGACTTCATTTTCTGTTTAGAGAAAGTGATGTCATGATTTTTTAACCACTTATTATTATTATTATGTTGGGTTTTGTGAGTTATACTTGGTTTACACCGGTGGCTGTGTACTATGTCGGACCAGAGTCAAGGCATAGCAACCAAAACAAAACTAAAATTAAACAAGTAAAACAGCAAAACCATATTTGGGACAAGACTATGTCTTGGAGACAGAATCACTTTGATTCTCAAGGCATGTCTTGTTCTCATTCTCCTATCTTCTTTGATATTGCTGCTTTTGGGCGCGATCGTTAAAACTTTGCCTGCCTCAACCACAAGGTTGTCCACGAGCCATTTTCGGTGAATGTTCTGTCAGTAAAAATTTACTAAGAAACTGATAATTTACTTAATTTGTATCGGCAGCGCAATATTTACAATAGTGTCAATATATAATATAAATCCAAGATCGCATGGCTGTCGACTCGAAAGGTCAATTAACTTGAAGTGAAAAAATGTCTCTCCTACCTTGTCCCTGATGTCCACATTGACCTCGACCACGTGTTCTGTCTTTTGTTCTGTCATTAAAAATTTACTAAAAAACTGATAATTTACTTAATTTGTATTGGCAGAGTGATATTTACAACAGTGTCGATACATAATATAAATCCAAGATCAGCATGGCTGTCGAATCGAAAGGTAGTAAAAAGATGTCTCTCCTCGTTAGAGTTTCAGAGTTCACTTCTTAGAATGACTGTGGGTGGTACTCTCCCCTACCTGACTTCAGTGGGGTGAGGTGACTGTTTTGTCTGTTTTTAGAAGAGGGTCGCAATTTTGGATTTTATTTTGACTCGATTCTTGGTCCCCTGACTATCTACAAGTCTGGATTTTTTTATGCGCAAATGATTTGGGCACCTAATATTCTGTGCCAAATATCAACTCTCTACATCTACTCCTTCATACCTCTATTCTGATAAGAACATGAGGCAGTACGATTTTATAAACAAGACATAATCTTGTCAATAAGTGTGTCAGTGTCAATGTCTGTATTCAGGAATTTCCTAACAATATGGCATGTATTCAATATAGTGGTCTTCTGTAGTGTGATATTATTATTATTATTACTATTAATATTACTATAGCATTGTTGTCAAAATATTAAGTAGTGTGACAGTAGTGAAGCAGGATTTTGAGAATATGGGTGCTGTTCAAGACAGATTCAGGAGGGATTAAGACATTCATCCTTTTTTTTTTTAGATTGCTACTCAGTTATCTTAAAATTAATTTAGTTACCCAATCTTACCTAAGTGAAGTCATGTAATATCTATTGTTGTATTTTATTTTTATTTTAAAGTAAGAAAACTGATTGCTTTGGTATCAATAATATGCTGCAGCACTTATAAGCGATCTCCTGGATAAGCCAATTTAGATTTTTGGACAATATATTAATGATAAAAAAAATTTCTTTCTTGATTTAAAATTTACTGATTTTATACACAAATAATATTTCAGCCTTCTGTAATGCAATCTGTTTATATAAATCAAATATTATAAGTATTATTCAAAGATAGCATAAAAAAAATGTGTCATCAAAATATATGCATCATATTTTGTGATAAATTTAAACAAATTTATCATAAAGTCTAATAGTAAAATATTTAAATGTAGAATTTTTATTATTTATTTATTAAACAATTATTTTAATTAATATGTTTTATGTTTTAGCTTGTGTTAACTGTGTTCGTTGGTCTGGTAGTGGGAAATATTTAGCATCAGGTGGTGACGATAAAACAATCATGATTTGGCAAACAGGAAGGTAAAAATTTTTATTCAAAGTTATTTTACTAAAATAGTAATACAATTTGATTATTTCTTTAGATATATCAATAACATAATTAATAATGAAAATAAAGAAAGGTTTAACTGATTCAGAGGTAAAGAACCTATGGCCTTCAGGTTTATAGCTTGATTTGATAAAACAAAATGTTGTAAGTTTAATTCATAAATAATGAATTTTGAGCTATGAAAGTACATTTTCTGTTTTTTTACAGTTGCAACTACATTAATATTATAATTTGTGATAACATGTAATTGTTTTACATAAATATATTAAACTTATAACAGCTACTCAAAAATTCCACAAATAAGCAAAACACTAACAAAAATAAACACCATGAAGTTTTAGTCTGTATTTCATAATAGTCATTTTGTATTCTGATGTAAATTATTCATTGAAATATTTAGAAAATATTAATGTTGGGAAGTTAAGAAATTCTTTTATGCCATTAAAAGAATATTCAGAATCACTTTTAAAAATAATTTTAATGGATTAACTGTTTCAAGTGGATATATCTTAGCAATGGTAGTTCTTTGAACTTCTTTGAAATTTTTAAAAATTTATTTATTTTATTATAAAAATAACCCATATCTCTATCTTTGATGCAAATGTACAGATTAAGTAATTTACACTTTATTAAGCTAGTTAAAAGTTTCAATATAAACAGATATTTTTGACTAGTTACATAGCAGCTGTTGAATACTGCAGAACTGAATATAAATTTAAAAGAATAAAACATCAAATACATTTTAAATAAGCATAAAATACAAAGAAAATATTTTAAATATTAAAATAATAATATAAAATAAACAATGTAAAGTAACAATAATTTTAAACGTTTATTTTTTTAATACACTAAATAGTAAAATGTTTTTCGGTGAGTTATTTCCATGAGATTGGTAGAGATTCAATATTTTTAGTATTCCACTTAAATTGTTTTTTGTTTATAAATGTAACATAGTTCTGAAAAATTCATTCTAAGAATCTTGGTCTCCAATAAATAAATCTTTTTATCACTTTCACTTTTTTCTCTTTATTTTATTTAAGGCTATTATCAAATGTGTGGATGTCACTACCATTTCCGAAGACATGATACATGCTAATGATGTTGCTTCAGTGAAATTGGTTTAGCTGCATGCTGTAAACATACAACAATGAACATGTGAACATTAAATCTGTGGTACGACTTGAAGTCGCACAACAAGAACATATGACATTACAGGACATTCTACATGCTATACGTTGCGTAATTTTGCCTCAATGAAATTCCTCCTTTAGAACTATAAACTTATTTTTTAAAGAATTAGATATAAAAAATAAAGTTAAGAAAATCTTCATGTTTCTATTCAGTTATTCCTGATAAAACAATCAATCAATATTTCTTCAAAAAAATTATTGATATAAAAAGACTAAGGATGTAGAAAAAAAATTATAGAGTATAAAATATACTTAACAGAAGATTATCAAATGTAATTCAAAATTTATTGATTTGATTTACCACATTAATTTATAATTACAGTAGAGCATCGATTATCCGACCCCCGATTAACCTTCACATCAGTTAACCGACCATGTTCTAGTCAGCAAATTCAAATGTCCGCTAGTGATGCGATGCTACAGTATTTGGCTATGTGTTGGCTACTTTAATATTATTTTTGTTAAATTTTGCATGTTTTAGCTGGAAACACTGACTCGACCATGAAAGGGAGGCCAGTATTTAAACGAGGCTTAATTTTCTAATTATGAGTGGTTGTTTGTTTTGTGAGCAATAAAATAATTTAAAAATAATTTTTAACAATACAATAGAGACAATTATTATTTAAAAAAAATTTTTGTTGGGCTTAACATCAATGAAAATTCAACACGAAGTAGATTAATAGCGATATACTAATATACTAATTACATGGGATATACTAATATACTATACTAATAATGTATTTTTTCATACTTTTCGGTTATCCATTTTTTCAGTTATCTGATGAACCCCAGTCCCCAATTGAGTTGGATAATCAATGCTCTACTTTACATCTATTACTTGATTTGAGATTAAGTGAAATAAAGTCTGTTATCGTAAAATAAAAATTAAATTTTTTTATGTTGTTATTAAATAAATAAGTT